ATTCAAATCTTTAACCAGCTCAACCTTATCTTTCTGGCAGATATTAGAATTTTCTACATAAGTTAACCTATTTGTCCAATTTATAAATACGTCCAGTCCTTTATCTCTAAAAATTACTTTTTTATTGCATTTCTAATACATTTTTCCTATAAAATCTACATATTTCAACCTTTCTCTGGTTAGTATTTATTCGTTAGATATTTTCTACTTCTCTTCATTTTTGATAGTTGATTGACAGTATACGAACAGCAATTGATGTTTTAATTATTGATCTTGAATCCTGCAACACTGTTGATATTCCAGTTATTGCTTCTAATTTGTGTTGTTTGTTGTGTGCTGTGCTAAAATTCCTAAGATTTTTCTACATAATAGATCATTCCCATCCTGGCAAATAGAGATAGCTGTTACTTTTTCTGTTCCAATCTGGATGCCTTTTGTTTCCTTTTCGCAATTTCGTCTTCTTAATCTGCCACTTTGCATTATGCTATTTTTTAGTCCTCTTTTGGTTAGTTATCCATAAAGTTCAAAATTGCTTCTCTAACCTTTTGCTATAATGCAATCTTGCAACTATAAACTTTTAAATACTTCTTTTATTCTCATTCTCTTAAATTCATTAACATCTTTTATAATTATCTTTAGCATATAATTACTAATATGATATTCGATGGTCATCAGATTCTTTTTCTAGCTTTCCTTTTTTTACCAAAATTCATTAGGTCATCAAAATAGATACATTCATATACTTGCATTATCAAAATCACGGTTAATTTGAAAGCAACATTCTGCCCAACATCTTACCAAATGCAATATCATAAAATTTTAACATCAACATCTCTTAAACACAATAACTAATGTGTATTACTACGCCAATATAGAACGGCATTATATATACTCATACAACAACGACAACATTCACCCATTCACCGACCAAACCCCCATTTATCCGACACTTAAGACACTATGAATCAAATTCAATACAGAATAAACAAATGAACTAACAATTACAGAGTCATTATAAACATTTAAAAAATATCTATATCCAATGTACAACATTAAATGTATACAATAGAATTTTTAATGTTTTCTCTGTAATGCAACATTCCTGTAACCTATGGCAGTTTCGTAAAATATTAGTGTCTTTTTGATTTGTATAATACTTTCAAAATATCGTTACTCATTCTATCACTGTATCTTCAATTAATAAGAAAAAATTAATTTCAATATTGCCTAATTAAAATTGTTATCCAAAAACTCATTTCCGATAATACTGGTATCTCCTGTTGAAATGCAAAAAATCTTCAAGTCTAATTTTCTGTTTTCTAAAGCTGTCGAGATTCGCTTGTAATGTTGCACATGTCAACAGACCAAGGTTCCCAACCTTAGCTTGAAGAAATGCTACCCTCCTTGATAGTCGCCCTTTATGAAATGTCCACCGTGAGGACTTTTTTTTTTTTTTTTTGAGAAGAGACGGCCTGACTCCCCGGTGGAGTGCCAGTAGTACAATCATGGCTCACTGCATCTTTCCACCGCCCGGGTTCAAGCATCCTCCCCTGCCTCAGCCTCCTCTGAGTATCTGGGACTACAAGCATGGCGTACAACCCAGTCCATGTTAATTTGTTGTATTTCACGTAAAGACAGGGTTTCACCATGTTAGGCCAGGTTGACTCTCCAAACTCTGACCTCAAGTGCGATTTCACCTGCCTCGGCCGCTCCAACAGTCTTGGATACAGTGTTGAGCACCGGGTGGCCAGCTATCATCATTTTTTAATTAAACAATTGATTTATCCACCAAATATTTGTTTCAATTACGTTAAGATACTTTAATACTCATGCTTCCCTCCTTCTTCATGCTATTCCCTCAGATAAAGCACTTTTGATTATTCACTTATAATTCAACAAAAAAAGGGGAGCGGTATCTCTTGCTTAATACTCGGTGATTGACCAAGATTACAAATGCAATGTAACTCTGTCTTCTGCAGCCAAAACGCCTTCTTCTGTGTCCTGGCAAAGGCCATCTCATTAAATTTGTTTGGATGCCTCTATTTTAAATGAATATTATATTGATAAGTTGAATTAAATAAGCATGGACTGGTTTTGATGTACTTTTCCTGCTTTTTTCTTTCAGATACTGGCCATAGGTCAGATCTACCGTGTGAATGGACGCAAGTCACTGAATAGAATTTAACACTGGCTAATCCTGAGTACACCACTGCACAAAACTACCTTTTTCCAGCTCTCCTTTTCCAAACACCTATGTAATTAACACCTCTCTTTCCAATGTCAACAGGTATAGTGCTGACTAAGAAAATAAATTGTGGTTCAGAAACGAGTGTTAGGGATGGCTATACCTTCACGGTTTCCAGTAGTAAAGCCAAACGATCATTTTAAAAATAAGCCACCACATTTTTAGTGGCTCATCACAATACAAATATACTCCTCACTCATGTAACAGTCACTACAGAATGTTCCTAGGTTCCAGTGACTATGGTATCTTGCCCGGAATGCTTCAAATCCCCAGGTTCCTGCCAGCTATATACCACAGTTCAAGTAGTTCCTCTGTCACCTATGTCTAGATGATGGATGAGACCGAGCAATTATAAAAGGTCTTGGTCCTGGAAGTAACACCCATCACTTCCACTTACATTCCTGTAGCTGATTACTGGTCACAAAGCAAACCACAACAAGGGAACAAGGGACTCGAAAATGAATCCTTAGATGCACAGCCATACATTTCAATTACACATTCCATATTATGATGAAACGGTAGCACAGTTTTTAGTTGACAACAATCCCATTAAGTCATTGCATTCTTAACTGCTTACATTAAACTAAAAATAAATTCAGATGCGATTAACCACTCCAAATTTTTTACAGCAGCATCAATATACTTCGTATTATCCTTAGTCTGTTATTACCACAAACATCTCTGAGATCCTGTTACACCACAGGAATTATTTCCATTTCCGCTGGGGCGGGCACGTTTCACAACTCAGCAGTCTTTGGGTCTGAGGCCAGTCTTTGCTTCCAAGTGGGATGCTCTGCACCTCTGGGACGGCGGAGCCATACATGTCTCGCGAAAAGAGAGGAAGGGCAAAAAGGCCGTAGCTACTATTCACAGTTTCTCAGTCACTCATTTACTAAGAGCTTACATCATGCCTCTACCTCTAAGGCATCACATTGGTCAGTATGCGCGTTCGCAACCTTTGAATTTTGGAGGACACATTCATTCAAACCACAGCAAATTATAAATCACAAAAAAGAAAATTTATTATGACAAAAAAAATGCGGATCATGAAAGAAAAGTATTCATTAACTAAATTACAAAATAAGCCATGGCAATAAGAAAAATCGTAGGGGAGAGGGAGGCTTGTAACTCTGACCACAGAGAAAAGTGTTAATTTCTTAACATACAAATCAAGAAGAAAATCCTAAAATCCAATAGGAAAACTATTGAATGGAATAGGCATGCAAAAGATATGATAGTTCACTCAAAAAGGAAAGATAAGGATACTAAGCAGTACGTTCAAAATTAAACCAAAGTAAGATACCACTGGCACAAACCACTTTGCTGACATTGTAGGATAGGCTATGGCAAATTGGTATATTGCTTATGAGGGTATAAATCAATACAACTTCTTTGGATTTTAAGTTCTCAATAGCTCTAAAAATTTAAAAGAACCTATCCTTTAGCCTAGTGAATCCACTCTAAAAAATTATTTCTCACAGATACGGTTCTTATGTACAGGTTTAAAAAATGATATTTATTTACTGAGCACTGTTTATAAAAGCAAATGACTAAACAATGTATGGGTCCATCAATAAGATTCTAGCTAAATTATATTTCATCCATACATTGGAAAAGCATAGAGCAGTTCAAAAAAATAAGATAAATCCATATGCACTGACATGTTCAAATCTTCTGCCACTGTAGATGAAAAATGTAATCTACATAACACGAATAGTGCAGTAGTATTTATGAAAAAGGTATATCTGCTATATCTTTGATATGCATGTATATGCATAGAAAGGGTTGGTAAGGATGCAGACCCACTTTTTAACACTTCTTTCAAGAGGAATGGGAGTGCAAGATTTTGATTTTTTTTCCCACTTTTCATTCTATGCATTTACTTCTTTTTACTAGGAGAATGTATGTATATGTTACACTTGTGGACAGAAAATAAAAATAATAACTAAGTCAAGTGCGTCAGGTTCACAAAAGTCTTACCCGAAACTGCTACTGGGTGAACGCCAAGAAAGGTAAAATCTGTCACTCAGGACACGTGGAATTTCTGTACCATTTGTGTGCGTGGAAGAAACA